CACTTTTAGCATGTTTTATAATTTAAAAAAACGTGAAAACAGAACTTAAAATTTTTAAAAAAATAAAAAAACTGAAACTAAGAAAGAAAAAACTAAATCGCTAACACAGAGATTCAAACGCTCAACGTGAAGCTTAATTTCAAGGGGACCTACCGCTGGGCTATCAATTTCTCTTTGTCTTTAATGGGGTTCAAAATATATATATTCACATAAATATAGAAAATTTACCATATATATGGTGTAATTTTTTACCGAGGGGGTTCATCCGAACCCTGGATATAGCTATTGTAAAATAAAAGAAAAAAAAAAAGAGTTAAAGAAAATTAGTAATGTGAAGTTAAAGAAAATTAGTAATGTGCAAATCAAGTGCTTGTTATGTGCTGAAATAGTGCTAATTTTTATTTTTTTTTGTTCATGTTGATCAACAAGAGAAACCATAATGAAAAAAGATGTCAATATCATCGATTCTCGAGGGGTTAGCCATACCTTAATGCCATGAGGAGTGGAGAGAGGAGGATCTTAAATATAAGTACAATGGATCAGTATATACTTTGGAAAATAGGCAGAGGAGATGCATGTTTCAATGTGGCAAGATAATTGGACAGGGTTTGGAGCACTGTGGCAATTATTCCCTGATGATAGGAAACCAAGGGAGAAAAACTTTCAGATCAATGGTCAATGGCATTGGGATATTTTCATACCTAATCATGTGATGGTGCATATATATTCAGAGTATGAATATCAATCTGAACTTGAATGTCGATGACAAACCTTTTTGGACTCCAACTCAAAGTTGCCTATTCACAGTGCCTCTGGGGAAGTTGCAAAAAAGATTTGGTCAGCTCTTTGTGGTCCACTGGGGATCCCGTTCGATAATATCCCTATTAGAATGATAATCAAGTTTTGGTGGACTTGGAAAAATAAGAACCCAGTTCTGTGAAGCCCTTTAACAGTTTTGTGAAGATTAATTCCGATGGAAGCTGTAAGGAGGGCTACTGTGGGGTGATCAGAGATCATTGTGAGCATCTCATAGATCTTTGCTTACTCGCTCGCTGAACCTTGGTCAGGGCACCAACAACTGGGCAGAGGCTAAAGCATTGTTGTTTGGAGTTGAATGGTGCGTGAGGAATGAATATGATTATTATATTTAATTAGCGGAAAGTGTGACTCAAAGTTATTTGGTGCATGGATTGTGTGAATGACATCAACTTCACACCATGGAGAATTCATGATGAATTGAAAGCCCATATGGAGACTACTGGATTCATCTTAAGCCATTGCTACAGAGAGGAGTTGCGGACCTAGCTATCTACTAGCGTCTCTTGGATATGACAACGTACGGTAACAACAAGACCTACGAATCATTTGCAGATTTACCAACTAGAGTAAAAGGTCTAATGAACATGGATAGGTGGGAAATTAAATGACTAACTTTAGAACCATGAAGAACAAGAAGAGGAATGATCTGATTTGGGACCCCCCTCCGTGAGGCTAGCTAGCTGTTGTGAGTACATACTTGTTTTTTGATGACAAAAACCAAATTTATATGCCAACTTTTGCATTCTCTTCATCTCAAATAGGATAGTTATTATCCTCATCTCTCATAGGGAGTAATAATTCACTAGTTGTAATCTCCTTCAGCCCAATTGTAACTTTTTGCTGGAAGATGAATAAAATGCAAGGTTTTTTTTTTTTCCACTCGTAAAAAATATTTAATTACATTATCATCCTTGTTTGTATATTTATCTATCACCTCAATTGAAATTATTTATCATATCAAGAAAATTATCAATCACCTCAATTGTATTGATCTTTCCAATTCCACCTTCCTTAGATTTATTCAATCTATGAAAATTGTTGTCTCTCCTCGGTTGTATCGATCTTTGCAATCCCCCTTCCCCTCATACTTAGTTGTATTGATCTTTGCAGACACATTAGCTCATCAGTTATATCGATCTTTGCAATCTCCCCCTCCCTCATTCATTCTTTTTATATTTCAACTTTTTTTTTGTTACTTGAATTTAACTTCATCCATGCCATGGGATTTGTTATCGTTCGTGATTATAAGATACAAAGTTCAATTTTTATTTTTATTTTATTTTTTATGCATAAATTTAATGAATTTTTAATTAAGCAGTTTTTTCGGTTCATTAATTCTTCTTTTGAAATTGTTTAAGCCAATTAATAACTATTAATCAATCAATCAATTAGCTATATCTAAATTTGAAACCTATTTGGTGGACTATATGAGTATTTTGTATCTGATTGTTCTATTTAGGGCTCATTTTGTTCCATTACTAAATAAATTGGTTCTTAAGGTAAATTAACTATTCTTCAAAATTAAAGTTTTTTCAAAATCTCAGTTTTTATCTCTAAATGATGATCACATCTCTAGCATATGATAAAAAAGAATTTTGGTAAATTCCGACCTAAGTTAAATTGTCTTACTAAAAATACTTTTTCGATTCCGCATATGATTTTTTAATAGACAAATGATTGAAAGGATTAACTATCAAATATACCTTTCACTTTGATTGCATCGGCCAATGACTCATGCGGAGCAATTTATCCCCCCCCCCCCCCCCCCCCGCCAAACTAAAATTATATCTTTAATTTCAATTTAAATCTTTTGAACCTTGATAGAATTTTAAAACATCACTAATGTGAAAAGTGTTGTGACAACAAATACCCAACAAAAAGCAAGTGATCGTGTTGTGCACAATAAGTGGGAGTAAAATAAAAAAAATTGTATTGAATAATCTGAAAGATGGATGATATCTATTGCAAGTCGTTTTATAGAACTACAATAAAGTATAATGGAAACGTGGCCTTACAAGATTTGATTTATACTTATTAGGTTTTGATTATGTGCCTATTAATTTAGTTGTGAACTCTGAAATGTATTTTGCTTAAATAAAATGAACATTCAATCTACCTCTATATTTTACAGTATTCCCATGATAGTTATTTTGCCTAGTATCACATTCTATGCTCTAAATTTTCCTTCATTTAATCATAGTATGATGAAAATTTTAATGCTTAAAAGACCTTTTGAACCTTGATATGAGTTACAGAAAATTATTACTCCAATATACAAACCAAGTGCTTCTTGTGTGCTAAAACGGTGCTAAAAGCCTTATGTTCATGTTGATGATAAACAAGTGATGATTGATTGAAAGAAAATACACTAGTGAGGTTATGGACTTTTGAGATAATTGAATGAAAGACTATATGAATTTTTCAATGAAGACCTATGAATTAGTAAAGACAAATTTCAAGTACAAAAAAATGATGTAATTAGCTCTTAACAATATTTTTCACATGCAAGAAGCCAAGTGGATAATGCTCTCAAAATCTCAGATAGTTGAAACTTTATCATTTTGGAAAAAAAAAATGAACTTTTTAGTATAAATTATAGGAACCACATATTATAAGTACTAAATAACATCATATCCCTTTTAGTTTTCTATTTACCAAAAATCCCTTAAAAATGATGTTTGCGGAATACATAGCGTTGTGCGCGGGATACATTAGGTTTGATACATTTCACATAGCGGGATACATAGCGTTGTGCACGGGATACATTAGGTTTGATACATTTCACATAGCGGGATACATAGCGTTGTGCACGGGACACATTAGGTTTGATACATTCCACATAGTGGGATACATAGCGTTATGCACGGGATTAAGGCTGGGCACCCGACCGGAATGGGACCACCGGACCGAAACAGGACGGTTTGATCGGGTTGTTGACCGGTACCGAGATGAACCGGACCAGAACTACCAGGATGGAGGCTCAGTTCCGTCCCGTCCCACTATATACAGGGATAGAACCGGGACGGACCGGAATGGACCGGAACGGAACGGGATGGGATAAACGGGACGGCACATATAGCTATTTCATAAAATAATTATTTTTTTGAGTTATTTTGAATTACGAAAATACGAATGTTTTTTTTATTTTTCTAAGTTATATTAGTTTATAGTATTTAAGTTTTAAAATTTATAATAATTTTACTTAAGTTTATTTTAAAGATATTTTTTTAAAATTTTTACGTATATATGTTTGTAATTTAAGTTTAATAAAGTTTTTTTTTAAGTTTTTGAGCTTATGTAGTTATGTTATAAGTTTTAAAGATTTGAATCTTTTGAAGTTTATAAGTTATTAAGTTATACTTATAACTTGAAAGTTAAATAACTTAAGTTTGTGATTTTAAAAAATTAAATAAATAAAAAAGAAATGCTAATAAAAGTAAATAACGACAAAAATATTATTTTTTATTTTAATTAAAAATGATTTACCGGGACCAGACCGGTACCGGACCGGAATCGGAATGAACCGGGATGAACCGGTACCGGTACCAAATCATGATACCGTTCCGTTCCATGTACCGGTTCAATGTATCCCATCCCGTCCCGAATACTATCGGACCAGAACGGACCGGAATGGTACCGGAATGGTACCGGTACAACCCGTTCCGGTGCCTAGCCTTACACGGGATACATAGCGTTGTGCACAGGATACATAGCGTTTGATATATTCCACATAGCGAGATACATAGCATTGTGCACGGGATACATGCGGAATACATAGGTAAAATAATGGATTTTTGAAATTTTTGAAATAAGTAGGGATAAATGGAGATTAAGGTAAATAAAGGAGTATAGTTAAGTAATTTGTCCTTAAAAGTACTTATATATATTTGGCAAAAGTACACCACAACCTCTGAATTGCAATTTAGTGATATAAATAAACTGAGACTTTGATGAATACAGGTAAAACTGCTAGAGTGAATCTGCAGGAGAGACTAACTAGTAAATACAAGATTGCCTTCAAAATTATGCTTTCGGAGATCTTGAACGTTCATCGATTGGAAGTATGTGAGGAATTACGACACGAATTTGCAAGAGCCAGTTTCTTGTGTTTCGAAGTGGTTAATGATCAACAGCAGTTTTTTCATCTTCTGAAAGCAAGCTATCATGTGCTCCAAGCACTTCATTTGCAACTAGTATTCTGTTTCTAGCACCCCGTCGATGAGACCAAACTCCATGGCCTGCCATAGAGCAGTAAAGAAAGAAAATGTTTGATTAATCAGATGGATTTTTGTCTCATGCCCAGCTAAAATGACAATGAAGGAAATGAGATCAGATAAAACAGCACCACATCTACATCGCGAGAAATCACTACTTCTGAAATTGGTAACAAGTTTTTTGGGGCATTTAGAAACACTATAGAGCAAGGAGTACGATCTAAAACACCAGCATAAAAGTTATAGCATGAGTAACAACATTACCTCAGAGGAAGACATAAAACGATCCCTTTCAGTGTATGCTTGTATCTTCTCAATTGGTTGGCCAGTAAAGGCAGCATACATTTTGTCGACTTTCTGTATAGTCAAGTAGATATATCAACTCAATCATAAAAAAATCTGGAAACTATACTACTCCTATCCCAAAAAATTGGGACAATGTTTGACTGAACACGAAGTTTAAGAAAGAAAGACAAACTTTTGAAACTTGTAAACTATAACCATCTATAAATATTTGTTTGGTTATAAATATCTCATTAACGATAAGTTCAAAGTTCAAAGTTCAAAGTCTTAACTATTTCTACATATAGAAAGGTGTCACTCTTTCTGAGATAGACTAAAAATGGAATACCATCCCATAAATTTGGATGGAGGTAACTACTCTGATGGAGCTTTAGCTTAATTTTATAGGTGACCTACAATATCCTATTTCCAATTATCCCAGTTTAACAATCTTATGTCCTAGTCACATGTCTGGTGCATCATATCATTCAAGTTCACAAGTCACACGTTCTCTGTGAGACAAGAGGGAGTTGCTCGGATGGTAAGTACCCTTCACTTCTAACCTAAAGTTGTGAGTTTGAATCATCAAGGGAGAAAAAAAGGTGGGAGCTCCTAGGGAGAGGGTAAAAAAAAAACATGCTCTCTATGAAGGGTCATCAATGTTAGCTTAAAATAATACCCAGAAGTTAGACACCCATGTATATAGATGAACTGAAAATTTTGGTGATTCATTCGGGCACACATGCATTCCTGTCAACAATCCTTTTTTTTAATAAGTTAAAATAAGAGCCTAGACACAAACCAGTAAGACTGAAACTGAAGTTTACAAGGACACTTATTTATGGTCATCATGATCCTATGCTGTGTCCTTGTGTTATTCAAAATTATACACATGGAAAAAGGAAGTCCATGGAACCTTCTGTGCTGAATTCTCAATCTAATCATCACTATGCTTAATCTGGATGATCGTATAACAGTGAATTTTGTATTTATTTTTTTATGATGTAGTATAACAATGATTTAGTAGAGTACCACAAATACCAAGTGGACCTCCATCAACTTAGCTTTATGACCCTAGTAGACAAGTTATGTATCTGTACATATGGTTCGTCAAAAACTTCAACAATTCCTATCCTTTTTTTTTAAGAAGATAACAAAGCAATTCCTATATTTTGATCATGTTTATATAGTGCGTACAATTTATTTGTATCTTACAATTTCCCTACATATACTATGAGTCGTCAAAATTTTCTGAGTCATGTTAAATCTAGGAAGAGTCGTGTTGGTGATATTGCTGATATCAATATAAACGATGCATGATAAATTTATCAGAAGGCTTTCAGTTTATTTTTCATTTTTGTTATTGTATACTTTGGTTGTACCATTGTAACTTGAGCTTGCCTACATTATGATATTAAAATTAGGTTGGTATCAAATCTTTCAAAGGGCTATGTAACTATGTAAGTAACTGTTGAATCTGTAACCATGATATTTCCCAAGTATTCTTTGGTTATTATCATAATCTTTTTAATTGAATGTTGCTATACACTCTACAAACTAAATGTGGTAGATGATACACATCCTAATCTGATAACTATGATATTAAGTCTTAAGTCTTTCAGGAATTGGAAATTAACTTCACTTGCAAATTTAAGGAGCCCATGAAACAAGAACTCTCTAGTACTCTTTATAATTTCATTTCCCCGTTGTATAGCGGGTGCCAAGAAAAAGATCAAGATAAGGACAGCATTAAATTTAAATTTGGAGCAGAGCAAAGATAATATTGTTCGAAACCCACTTGTAGATTATCAGAAACAGAAGGTAGAATAAGAAATAGTACTAACCTGGCGAGATTGAACCGCTTCGTTTACTTGACGCCGCACATCCTCCACGTGCCCCTAAAGCAGTTAGTGCAAGTAGACTTTTAATAGAAATAAAACTAGTTTAAGTAGCTAAAAGGGAGCATCTTCATACCATTTTGAACTAGCAGAAATATTCTAAAAGATATTTTGAGTATATTGAGATAAAGAATAAGAATTTATCAGAAAAAATGAAAATTCCTTTCATTATGCCTGATGGAAAAAGATAAATATATCGCAGATTGGCACAAACCAAGTGTTTAGTAGTATTGCACCAATACAAAGTTAGTAGTACAAATTAACAATCAATTTTACAAAGCTTTTGTCGTATCAAATTAGCTGTTTCCTTTTTTTAACTGTTTGAGAAATTTATATTAGAAAAGAAAAAGGTAACAAAAAGTGATCATCCAACTAATTGGAAGTAAAAAGATCTCTTTAGGGGAGAGAGGGGGAGGGTTGGGGGGTGTTTGTAATATTGCCAAATCGGAGGAAAGGTAGTTGTAGCTCACTCAAAGTAACACATCTTAACTGAAACTCTCAGCAAAAGAGACGAGAACTTACTCCACAGCCACTTTGAGGTTGATGAATCATTATACGTGCATTTGGCATTGCGTACCTCATGCCCTTTTCTCCACCGGCAAGAAGAAGTGCTCCTTGGCTTGCAGCAGCTCCAAAACATACTGTACCAACCTTAGGCTTTATCTGAAAAAAAAAAGTCATTAGCATAATTATCGTAACTCATAAGAACGTAATGTCAGGCAGTAGAGCATATTCTGCAATTGAAAGTTGATTAAACGGAATGATTATAGACATTATAAAGTGGCATACTTACCCATGACATGCAGTCATATATTGCCAAGACAGAGTACGTGCTTCCACCAGGACAGTTAAGATAGATCTGATATTGCAAAACATGGATGTAATTGTAAGCAATACCTTTCTACATACAACTTGATAAAAAAATCAAGCTATACAGTTAGGATAAAGCAAAGCAGTACCAAAATATCTGCGTTTTCATCTATAGTTGCAAGGGTCACAAGTTGTGATATTACTTTCTGAGCAACTGCAGAATTGACTGGTTGTCCAATGAAGATAATTCGATTCCTGAATAACACGGTAGAAAGATCCAACGCGCCCCCTGGTGTCATCACGGCGGGCATGATGGGTGGATTACCCCCCTCTTTTGCTACGATAACACCATAGCTGTTCCCATGAATTTCAAAACAGCAGCTGTTATATTTTCTAGGTGACATGTTTCAATCAATCATTTGGTCTTTGTGTGTGAACATTGACCAAGCAAATTTTCAGATACCTCCAAGTACATAAGAGACATTCACAATGCAATATTTCTGCTTGCTAGTTCAGTGCAGGCTGACTGACCATCTATTCTCCATGCACACATTTTGGTCTATGCTCGTGTCTTATTTATTTATTTATTGTGTAATATGGACTTATATATTTTGGATAAATTGTTTCAACACTTTCCTACAAAGAGATTGTTGTCTTTTGACCTATTTAGTCCAGTTGTCTGAGACCTAGCAAGCACCATAACAATATTAAAGCGGGCATGATAACTTTTTCTCTTCGACATATTCTCAGTTTCTAACAACGTACCATAAACCAATGCCATCAAAGTGAAAGTGAAGATACTCATAATTAATTTCAAAAACTATATTTCTAGCGAGTATTGAAGGAAGAACATAAAAGCATTATTTCAGCAAAAGAACATAAGGCATTATCAGTTTATGAAAACAACAGGACACACATCTCAAGAGCAAGGGAAAATTAACCTTCTAAAATCTAGATCAAAGAACATCTGTTAGAAGATCTAGTGTGGAGAATGTCTCTATATTCTTATTTTCTTTCAAAACTACATCAGTGCTGCATCTGGTAGTATATTTTACAAAAATATAAGCTTTTTAAGGAAATATGATAAGAGCAAAACAATAGCAAGTACACACAATTTTTTAGCATTAAGGTACTGATAAAAAAAAGTCTGACTACTAGCATATGCAGTCTGAGGATAGAAGATAAAACCTTGAATTGGTATGAGCACCGGATTCGTGCTCATTGAACTTTAATGGGTTCCTCAACTTCTTGCTTGAAAATCCTAGAAATTGGTAAAATACAACCCAAAGATTCATAGAATATTCCAGGTAACTAACTAAGTAATTTAACTAAACTCAATTCTGTTGCTAATCCAGAACCCAACTTACCAATAGCTGATGAATCAGAATATGGACTTCGGTGAACAGAAACTACATGTTTCCTTAAGCTTCTGCGGAGAAAAAAACTAGTGTTGATTCCTTCTCAACATTCAAAAACAACAAAAACCGATATTTACTGTATCAATTCACAGAGAAAATCCAAATACTGACTTTTCTACTCCAAAAGCCAGTCATTCTTTTTGCAGATACGGAGTTAGTATTAATTTCTTCAATGTAGCAAGGCAATGAAATACCTAGAGGAAAGCAGAGACGAAGAAGACGTTTGGTGCCGGAAAGAGATTGGCGCAATTGAAGTTCCAGCAATTGCAGACGTTACCATTTTGATGCTCCGGCGAGGGTTCAGTGACGGAGAACTGAAGGAAGAGTCTTCGCCGGCGAAGGTAGAAGCGTGCTGGTAAAACGGGATAAGAACTCGGGAAAACCCGAACCACTGTTGGATCTTTATTGGGCTTATACTAGCTTTGTGGTCTAAAGCCCACCTAAGTGCTAATGGACGTCTATCCCAAATTCCCCATCTTGTCATAATTAACTAATCGGGGAAAATTTCATAAATAGTAAAGAGATTGATTTTAATAAGTCTCCTTAGTTACAATTTGCCTAATTATGCTTCATAATATAGTTTCATTTGTTATGAGTATTTTTGTTTGGATAATTAACTTGTATATAATTCTCTTGCAAATATACAAACATGGTAAGTATATATAAATTCTATATTTATACATTTAACAATTTTTCAAAACTTATACAAATCAAATGTATCAGCAAAATAATGATATAAAATTCAAGGCAAATACAAATTTTGAATCTATACAATTAGGAAAATTCTTAATTTATATAATTAGGAGCCGAATTATACAAATTCTGGATGTGGGTCATGTAATTATGATTATAAGTTAGTGGCGAATGGTAATTTAATTAAAATGTAGCTATGTTAACTAATTAACTAGTATATATTGCTTATCCACATAATTTTCCCTAACTAGTATGGTCATCATTCACACAAATGCCTTTTTTTAGTGGTCTATACATGGTCGGCTTAATTAAGGATATATAGTTATAATTTGCTTAATTACGATTCATAGCTAAATGTTAGAAGAAGAAAAGAAGCGAGCAAGACTGGAGTGGGAGGAGAGAGACGAGAGATCTAGGAGAGAGGTGAGAGATGTACAATTGATTTGCATATGTGATTGATTATTGCATCATGAATACAATTGATTTGTATCAATGAGTAAAATTGTATCAAAAACCAACTACATGTTAGACAGAGGAAAGAAGTGAGCAAAATTGGGAGAGGGAGGAGAGAGGCGAGCGAGATTTGGGAGAGAAAGGAAAGAAATGAGAGATACAATTGATATGTATATCTGATCGATAATTGTATCACATATACAATTAACACAAATGATTTGTGTCAATGAATATAATTGTATCAAGCTCAAGTTTATTAATGAAATACAATTTGTATCAACGAATATAATTATATCAATGTTGTATTTCATGAAATTGTGTGTATTCATGTGTATTTCTATTCATGTGTTGTCTTGTGTATTTGTATTTATATGTTACCATGTGTGTTTGTATTTGTTACCTTGTGCACTTGTATTTATGTATGTATATGTTGCATTTGTTGCCTTGAAAAAGTTATCATATTTGTATCACTGAAATATAATATTTGCATTTTGAATTATAAAACATGATCTGTATTATTGAAATATATCATTGTATTTGATATCACTAAAAATGATTTGTTCAGTTATTAATTACCATTTGTATTATTGATTGTTACTATTTGTATTTGTATCATTTATTGTTACCATTTGTATTGTAGAGAGAGAAGATGAGGCGAGTGAGAAAGGGGAGAGGGGAATATGCTATAAAATTTTAATTATAGCTACGCATTATAATTCTCTTAAACTACAATTTTGTATAATAAATACATATCACATATTTATCTTAACTATGTAATTTTTCCAACAAAAAAACTAAGAGGAAACTAATCATATGTCCCATAAAAGCAAACTAATTACAGGCCTATACCCCCTTACATTTATGTCCCCTAACTAATTACAATAAATGTCCATTTCCTTATACCTTTAGTTATTTAGCTCATTTTTAATTCTATTGCTTTTTATTTATCTACTTTTCTTTTTTCTTTTTATTTTTCTTTGTTTATTTAAAATGTTTAATTTATTCTTTATTTCTTTTTATACCATAATCTGAATTATATTCAATATTTATTTCATATACTTTTTTTTTCTCATTTATTTCTTTCTTCGTTTATTTTTTTTTGTACTTCTTTCACAATCATATGATGAAACATGTTGATGTAAACTTTCATTTTGTGCGCAAGCATGTTGAAAAGAATGGGATTTGTGTTATTCATGTTGATGATCAACTTAATGACACCCTTATCAGAGCTCTAATCAAACTTGCATTCCATCGTAATTTTTTCAAGTTAGACTTAGTGGCACATCATCTAACACATCATTTATGTTTATCTTAAACTATGTCATTTATGTTTATTTCTTATTTCTACCTTTTAGCATAAATTATTATTTGATATAAATATTTTATAAAAAGTTGGATTTTAGTTAGGATAGTCTATTATATTTTGATTTACACACTCCTAATGATTAATATAATGAGTCTTTTTAAAAAATAATGTGTATGAAGTTCACTAAGACTTTTAATAAATGTAGTTTCATCTTTTCTTCAATTGTTTATAAATATGTCACATAAATTAAGATCGAAAGCTCATACGAACCAAAATTGTTATTTCTCCTTAAAAATATTAATAAACAAAAAAAAATAGTGATTATTCCTTTACTTTAGGAGGAGAATGAGGAAGGGAAGATGACTCATAGTAAAAACTTTTATTACATAAAAATTATTCACTTTCTCTTTTTTTTTTTCTTTGAGAATTCTCCCAAAAGTATCAATCATCTTTTCTATTTTTTTCTCAGTTCTCTCTAATTCTCTTTTTGACATGTCTTCTCTTTCTTCAAATCTCTCTTTACTAGACTATACAAAAGAATAATATGAAATATATGAGTTTTACATTATCATTCTGTTCATTGTTTAGATAGAATTAGGTTATATTAAAATACTAGGGTTTGTAATTGATTTCGCATGCAATTGCATGCATTTTTTTCATTTGATAATTTAGTATGATTTTCGATAGAAAATGATTATTCTTGGAGAGTGACAAGGATCTATTCGATGTGATTTTACCTAGCTAGGGTTAATCAAGGATTCTTCAAAAATGCTTTTGTCACAATATGAGGAATCTCCACCTTCCTCCTCCTCGTCCCCACCGTCACACGATAACTCTTCATCCAATAATTCAAATTCTAAATCATCTTTATATAACAAGGATTCATCACCTATCCCGCTATCTGGAGATAGTTACAACTATTCTTCTAATGATAACAACGACAACAATAATAGTATTAAATTGCATACTTCATCTAAATTGTCGAATTCATCTGAAGGAGGATCACAATCCCCTCCACCCCCACCACCTCCACCTCCACCTCCACCTCCACCCCCACCGCCGCCTCCACCACCCCCTCCCGGCTCTCATTCACTTACCCCTCATGGACATAAGTCACCACCACTACCAAAAAATGATAGTGACTCATCCAACAATAATAATCATAAACCTCTTTTTATAGGAATTGGTGTTGCTGTTGGATTATTATTACTTCTTATGCTAGTTTTCCTCATATCTTTGTGTAAAAAGAAAAGAAGAAGAAGAAGACCACATGATCAAATGGGCTTATACATGGACAATTCTTATAGACCCAAGAGTATAAATCTATTCTTTTTTCATCTTTTAATTAATTAATTATCTTGTAGATATTAATATGTTTTTTTTTGTGAGATCACCTTTTAGCTATATAAATTCATGATAGAAAGTATGCAAATAATGCATATCTCTTCTTACTTTTATCATTTCCTTGTATTGATCACAATTTGAAATATATTTATAGTGTTTGAATTTGAGTATATCATAAGTTCTTTAATTATCATAAGTTATCATAAGTCCATCTTACCCCAATGTGGTAAAGTGTTTGATTTTTCATACACTAACAACATTTAAAAGAAAATCGCGAATAACTATTCATAATAAGTGAAATTAGTGACTTAAAAAGTATGACTTTCTATAAAATGTTAAATTGCACTTGATATATAGTATATAGAAATATTTAATCTCTCGTTGTTTGCTTTCTTGCTTATTGTGATTTCCCCTTTCAATGGATGTTTCATATATTTGAACAGGAAATGATTATAATGACAACTACAGTGTCCAATCTACCGAACATGTTGTTAAGATACCCCCTCCAACTAATAGTGCTGGAGTTAGCTCAGAATATAATTGGCCATTAGCACCACCACCGCCACCACCACCAATGAGCAACACAAGCTCCTCAAATTTCTCAAGCACTCAACAACAACAACAAACTCTTAATGTGCCACCTCCTTCAACGCCATCAAATATATCTTCTGGTTTTATTAACCAAAGAAATTATACTTATGATGACTTGGCAAATGCGACGGGAGGATTTTCCAAGACCAATCTTCTTGGACAAGGTGGATTTGGATATGTACATAAAGGAATTTTACCTAATGGTAAAGAGATCGCGGTAAAAAGTTTGAAATCAAATAGTGGACAAGGAGAAAGGGAATTTCAAACTGAAGTTGAAACTATAAGCCGTGTAAATCATCGACATCTTGTGTCTTTAGTTGGTTATTGTATTGCTGGATCTCAAAGGATGCTTGTCTATGAGTTTATTCCTAACGACACTCTTGAATATCACCTTCATGGTATGATATACGTTAAATATTGTAACATAGTTATAAGTTTTTAAAAAAATATATATATATGTATCTCATTTTACATATATATAATAATTGTAGGATCTGGAAACCCAGTTATGAATTTCCCAACTAGGCTTAAAATTGCAACAGGAACAGCTAAAGGGTTTGCTTATATTCATGAAGATTGTAAGTCAATTATATTATTATTATTATTTTCCCTTTGGATAATATATATAATTTTCCTTTGAAGGCTAGCTAATTGGTCTTATATAAATTTTAGGTCACCCTCGAATTATTCACAGAGACATTAAAGGTGCAAACATCCTATTGGACAATAACTTTGATGCCAAGGTATATATATTATTATTTTACACCATAATTTAAAGTTACAATACGGTAATATAAATTCTAAACAAAAATTATGTATCATCGATCAGGTGGCTGATTTTGGGTTAGCTAAGCTTGCAGCCGATAACTTTACTCATGTGTCTACTCGTATCATGGGAACTTTCGGGTAAACAATCTAAAATTTGACTTGACCCTAACAAGTTTCAACCTGAGGATAATTCTGAATTACAGTCAAAAGTTGAATAAAATTTGAAATGTTATTTTTTGGCATTCAGGTATTTGGCACCAGAGTATGCTTCGACGGGGAAGTTAACAGAAAAATCTGATGTCTATTCTTATGGTGTTATGCTTCTAGAACTTATAACAGGACATCGTCCTACTGATGTCAACAGTGACGGTGATAACTTAGTTGATTGGGTACGTAGATTTTCAACGTTACGTTATAATTTCGGAAAATAATGTACATTAACTTTTAAATTGGTACATTCAGGCTAGGCCAATTCTAAATCGTGCAATAGAAGGTGGAAATTATGATGAATTAATAGATCCACGTTTGGAAGGAAAATTTGACAGACAACAAATGTTATGCATGGTCATTTGTGCTGCTGCATCCATCAGACATTCTTCAAAAAGACGACCAAAAATGAGTCAAGTTAGTTTCTTTTTTTTATTACTCCAGTACTATTTTTTATGCTCAAATCACCATAGAAAAGATTGGTTGATTGATATATTGGTATATAATTTGCAGATTGTACGTACTTTAGAAGGTGATGTTGCTTTATTGAATGATTTATATAAAGGATCAACGCCAGGAATATCTGGATCAGGAGAAAGTTCAGAATGTAATGGAGCTGGTTCCTCATATGGCAATATTAAAAAGTTGAAAAAATCCGAAATATCAAGTGAAGAATACACAAGTAGTGAACATGGATCAACTGGTGAGTTTGTCCAGTCCAAGGCTCAATCTTAAGCAATAAATTGTAGACACAACACATATACCTATATACTAGACTTAAAAGGATGATTTTAGGTAATGAAAAATGTATATATACTTCTATCATGAAACATAGATTAGACTGACAGTGGTAAATGTATCTGTTCATCAGATGCGGCATGAGTACATAGAAATTTTCTGGTTAAGTTCATGTATAAGTAGTTATTTGTTTTTTTGGAATTTAATACAACAATAGAGCACATATATTGTCAATTAATGTGTTATGTTTCTTGATTCTTGTTATTTAACGTACTGTTTTGTAGGCAAGTTTTAGCTAGAAGAGAAATAAGTCAACAGAAACTGAACATGCTCTCATTAAATGCACGTATTTGAGGAAAAATTGGACAATGGCAGCGGATATCTGTGTTACAGAGATTGCCTCCCCTTGTCAAATACAATATAAGACTATAGCTTATGTTTTTTGCTAAGAAATGGTGTTACATTATCTAAACAAACTCTGGACCACTTCACTATTTAAAACATTTAAAAGGAATATCTGCCAAGAAAATTGATACCTTACAAAAATCAAGCTCGTCATACAAAATAATTTTTTTAAAAAAGAAAAGAAGCCAGACGTGTGACCACAGAAAAAGGTCACAGTCTCATTTTGGAAAAAATAGCCAACATGGGATGTGGACAAAAGGCAAAAGATACAATGACCAGAACATAACTTACACTCGAGAAAGAAAATAATCAACCACCCTTTAAACTCTTCTAGAAAAATCAAATTGGTATATAATAAGAAAAAGCATATGCAATTGAAGGTGGAAATTGTCACCGGTTAACCTCCTGAATGGGAGACGGGTGTAGTCACAAATTGGCCATTCTTATATACATGGGAAAACTGCTGTGGCAAAGCGTGCTCCCCCTGCAATAATTGTCCATATGTTAAACTAGTTAATTACTTATACCCCCAAAAAAGGAACTAGTTAGATCGAAACAGGAAATACAGAGAGATGTAACGCCACCAGAAATACAGAAACAGTGCTTCAAACACTATAACAGAAACTCAGATTATGAGTTGATACAGCTCCTTTTCTGTTCTGCCACGTAGCAAAACACTAAGGGGCATTTGTCAATGACCTCACTTTCACATAAAAAGGTTCCACCTTGCAAGTTGGCATTAGTGAAACTGAGAAAAAAATTTAAGCTTAAAAAGAAAATTTCAAGTTGAATTGTGGTTGAAGTTTTTCATATCTACTTCTACTCACTGATCTTCTACTTTCACAAACCTTATTTGTTTCAAAGAACTACCAATATCCATGCACAATTTCCAACCTAATGAAACTTTTCGCCAACTTCTGATTCAATTCTTTTTCTGACTTCAACTTCAAATATATGTCCAAAACTTGCACAAGTTATATCTTCATGTAAACACTCGAAAGGTACATTTCAACTAAGAACTTATCACCCACAATGTTTTTTGTGGTCATAAGCTTCTAAGTTCATCCCATCTGAGCTTGATGCTTACCAGTTAGCACCAAGCACAAAAAGATATACATGAATAGATAATTAAGAAAAAGAAAAAAAAGAACATACCCAATCACTATCAGCCCCTGCACCTGGAACCAAAACATTAATTTCACTTGACTTGGCTGTTGTAATGGAAGTCTCCAAAGAATCTTTGCTCAAGTATAATTGGCATCCAGTTGTATTATCAACTGAAATAGTCGGTGCTGAACCCTAAAGTGCCCACACAAGGGACCAAATACAATGATGAGGTTATTATACATAAAACTGAAATTCCAATGAAAACATTACCAAACCTCTGAGGAAGCATTATTTGGATACCTGACATTGAACCTCCACACCATTACAGTTGACAACCTCACAAGCTGCGACAACATCCTGTCCATGAAATTTATAAATCAAATTAAGCACTTTGGTATAGGACATAATAGCCTCCGATACTTAAACAACCCTCCTTTTGAAATCAATCACTGACCGAGAATACAACTCCCATTTTAGTACACTTATCAATTGTTATGTTGTTGACTTTCCCTGTATGACATCAAATGAGATCATCTGCATGTTAGAGCGCTGAAAACTAACACATTCCAGTTTGTGCCACTACTTTATATTAGAAGGAAAATGAAGTTACCTTGGATCTGCAAGACTGAATCTTTGCACCCAAAAATATAGACAGATTGCTTTGCATCACAATCATCAATGACTAGATTTTTTCTTCCTATTTGATTCTCAACCACCCATCTTGGAGGAAACAAGACATCAAAGTCAGAAACATATTTGCCTAATCTCAAGCATAGATCAATTGAAATAAGAGTTTTTACTCACTTACGACCCATCTGAAGCTCCAGTTTTGGAGGTCCAGCTTTAGAGAAAGATGGTGAGCTAACGCGACGTTCCTTTTCTCCTGCACTAATGACACCGGTTCTATCTGCACGATTCTTTGTCTTCATATCATCTGTCACCTTTCTCAATCCTAGACCAAAAAACAAAATCAACCCAAGGGTAAAACTGTCTTACATTAAAAAGGGAGGGAGCACAGCTGAGCATTACCACCAGTCACTGGCATCCCCGAATTAATTTCATCAAAAACAGCTGACATCCCTTTCTTCGGGCGTGATGATGAAGCCTGGGGAGATTCAGAGCTGAATAGAGAAGCTGGCGGCGGCGGAGGAGGCATGGGACGACTTGGTGAGGGAGCTTTTGGTGGTGCAGATACAGCAACTTTCCCTGTAGCACTCCACACAGGGCCCAATGGGTAGTGACTCTTAACGTAATCCCGCAAGCCAGGGAGATAAATCTCTTTCAAAGCTTTCGCCCATTCAACCTGATTTGCGTCTTTGTTTCTGAACTCCACAAGGACCTATATATCATGAAATTTAATAGAAGTTAGAACAGTATGCAATTTTATATTGTGCACTATACCACCATATTAATTATTGAGAGGAAAACAACATACATAAAAAACAACCAAACAACAGAGCATAAATTGGAATATGATCTTTCAACTCGGAAGAAAATTCGAAGCAAAAATCCTTTTCCATCAGGAACTGAATATGGACTCACAGTACTGTCTTGCTCTAGCTAAAGGCAACTCAATTTATTGTGGAGGTTGTGTATTAGGGTAGAAGGGTAGTAGGGTAAGAGCGTTGTTTTGCCTTGCAAGGTTTAGTGCCTGGCGTAGAACTAGTCATGCCCTTGTAGTTCTTGCCATATGTTGTTTATTGTATTTCGGTTATCACACTATTTTGCTTTTATTATTGTTTCTCCCCGGTAGACTTTATACTGCTTTTCTTATTGACCATTATGCTTTCTCCACTGGTTTTTTTCTTCGTTTATTTGGGATTGATGCACTTGAGCAAAGGATCTTCCAGAAACAGCCTCTCTACCTCCATGAGGTAGTGGTGAGGTCTGTGTACACTCTACCCTCCCCAGCCTCCCCAGACTCTATTTTGTGGGATTTCACTGTGCATGTTGTTGTTGTTGGTTCTCTTTTGGAGGACCAAAATTATGGAAACAAAGATAAAACGTACATTTGTAACCTAGGAGATGATCTAGTGGTCAAGGCATTTGAGTAATAACCTAGAGCTTCCAGGTTCAAATTCCAGTTATAACATTAGGAGTGAGCCTATCTGCTCTGACCTCGACAAGCAGGATTACTTTGGCAACTTATACTTGTAGGCTGAACAGGTTTAAAGGTGGATTAGCCAAGGTGTGCGCATGTTGGGGCATGAACACCACTGACTAAGAAATTACATTTAATAACTATTTTCTTTGTTTTTTCAATCAACACCAACAATTACACATCTATCCCAGATAGTTGGGATTATTCACTAATCAATAGCAAAGAAAGGAAACAGGAGAATGTCTTAAACAGTGATTTTTTTCTTAACTTAAAAAGTGGATGTTACACTTGTTTGGGAACACTTCCAGACAACACAATAAGCTACAAGTTCAACCTCTCTTGTCAATTCTTTATCCTTTCCACCACTCTCACCTCCGACCTTATTTTGGTGATTCTAACTTTGACTACCTTGTGTAGCCCCTCCAACAAATTGAGAACTTGGTATATGGAAGGCCTCAATTTACTACTACTTTTTTTATAGTGGGAAAGCCTCGAGTTTTCTCCCAAAATTCTAAGATAAGATACCACCAATCCTTAGGAGGCTTTTAGAGAACTCAAAGTCTGAAGAATTCTCGTTGTCCATGGCTGCTATTGGGCCTTTTAACCTCTCCTCCCTCTTTGGAGGTTGAGTTCCCATCCTCTTCCACTCTTTTAGATTCCCTCAGTCTTCACTTCAAATTGCGACATCTTTTTCTTTAAGAGGGGTAAGATTACAAATTGAAACAAACTCTCATGATGACGCTTTCTTCTTTCCTCTCTTTGATAACCAAGAAGTCCGTGTTTCCAACTTCAAAACTCGATGGATATTGGACCCATCACTCTACTGACATCTCCACTTAAATACCAGGTTAGATCACGGTTTAAAATCCGTCCTTATAATGTGAGTCTGCCATACATTTTGTACTAACTCTGCTGTTGAAAATCCCATGTAAGATTGCTTGTTTCCAATCATCAATAAGAAAGAGATACGGTGGACCAGAGAGGTCCCCAATCACCAGCTCCATTTCAAATGTGACCCAATTATGTTTGTGTTTTGGTTTTCAATGAGAAAGAACAAACATGGTTTCTATTACAAATCATCTCACAAGATTCCTTAAATGTTATATAAGCACACACTTTAAGTTTCATGAAGTGCCAATGAAGAATTACCGACTTACTCGCTGACAAGGCTGGGATAAAGCTCATTTTTCTTTTGATTCAAAAAGTTTGGTAAGAAGGAAAATGTTCTGCATGTCCAGTTACTCTGAAGAAAATACATTCCGTTAAAAAGGAAGAAGTATGACTCCATCACATCAGTGAATCCATTTTCACTTACAAACACCCAACTTTACTCCATATAACTTGTTTCAATAACCACTTTTTTTATAACCGAGAATTCCCTGAGGGGCAGCTGTACACAGTTGG